GAAATCATCTTTCAAGAAAGCTCTATTCACTTTTCCTTAGTGTTTGAGGGATTCGTCCTCCTCGAGTTCTCTTTATTAGCTTGCAACTTGTTAGGAGTGTGGATCCGTCCATTCCTAGTCATTCTTCCTATTCCACTTGGATTTCACGGTTTCACGACACGGCTTTGTCCTCTTAGGGCAAAAGTTGGCGTCTTTATGATTGTGGAGTTCTTTACCCTAAACTCTTTATGGATGACTTACTTTCCATTACTTCCGACTAACGCACATAAGTTAATTTCCCTTTTTATTCTCGTTTATTCTTTTACAAAGAAGGATATGTTCTAAATGAATATAATGCAGAATGCAGAGAAAGTTGAGAATAATAAATATCAGTCTCATTGATTTGTTTATATATGAATGCTTAAATGGATTTTAACAGTATTAAGCGAGAATCTATATTAGATTCTAGGAAGACTTACTTTGACAAACATATCAAAGCAAGGGCCCAATCATAGTATTTTTAAAAATTGATTTGGGATTTTCTTTAGAGTGTAGATACTATCGTATATTAGAACATTCACTTTTCTTAACTTTCTATACGTACTGCAACCTAATCCTCCTTAATTAGCTAATAAAATAAAATGAATGAAGTTAATGAGCTAATCTAGAATGCATGTCATTTTTTTTTGCCTAATCTTTATCATATTTCTATTATCTAAAGGGGAATGATGCATGGAGATGAGATTTCTCTTATTTATTTTTTTTTTAAAAAAAACTACCTATATGATGTTAATAGAATGATGACCTAAGAATGTACAAAGGGGTATAAAATTTGTATTATTATTATTTTTTTCTTTATTATCTGTTTGCTTATTTTAAAATTCCAATCCATCTTATTAGAACAAAATAATACAAACAAATGCACACACATGCTCAATCAACGTACACCCACGAACGATCATGTTCAAATCCTTGGTTTGTGGTCCTTGTCGAGAAAAGTGCATTGTATAGGACGGTTCTAATCCCACTGGTCTTTAAGGCCCCCATGGTGCCCCCATTATAGGGACCTAGTATCTTTGTCGCTGTCACCTAATAAACTCTAAGGTCTATCGTAGTATTTCGGGTTAGAGTAATCGGTTATCACCTTGAGTGTGATTTCTGACAAGGCTCGCAAGCTCCAAGACCAAACTTGGGCCAGTCGTACGTCAACCACTCCCTATGTTTAATACCCTCATGCTCCCGAGTGTAGGGGGAATTATTGTATGCAAAGGTTTGTGTATAATTTTTATTCAAACAGGTGTAGAATTTAAACAGGCAAACAAATATTAAAGCCAAACAAAGTAAAGGAAAAAATATTTAAATTCTTATTCTTATTTTATTAACTTCATCATTTATATGGGCCTGACCCTTTTTAAACATCCCCAGTAGAGTCGCCATCTGTCGCAACCCAAAAATTTTTGATTTTGCGACTAATGGTTTAGACATCCTTTTGAAAATGTCATCAATTAAAGGAATGCCCGGACACCAGACTAATCCTTAATTAATAGTTTTGAAAAATAGGTTCTTAGGAGTCGCCATCAAGGTTTTACTCAAAACATTGGAAAAAGAAAAGGTTTTTAAAAGTCCAATAATGGCCTTGATAACTAGAATTGGGTTCGGGGGTCGGTTACGTATAGGGAAGGTATTAAGCACCCCTACAACGCTCTTAATCGGTACCTTTATGATGAAGTTAGCATAGTAAGAATTAATAAGTTATATATTTAATCTCCTTTATTAATAATTATTTACATGTTTGAAATTTAAATTACACAATTGACTCTAAAATTTCTACATGATTACTTTTATTATAACAATGTTTATCATAGATAAGAAATAAAAGGGAAAGAAAAAGATTGACTAAAATATTTCTTGAACGAGCTCTATTGAATCTTCAAATATGGAGACTTTTAGGTGCTTTGTGGGAAATATGCCTCACAAAAATCTCAAGAAATACAAAAGAGAGAGAGAAAGAGAGAATTTTTTAGCTATAAGGAGCTCTGGATTAATTTTCTGCGCTTGAGAACTGTGCCCGAGTCTGCTATTTATGGACATCAGAAGTTGTCAGAATGACTTGTTCTAGATTTGGAACGGACTTTTCTGGATCTGTACGTTATGTGTTAATTTCACATCTTGGAACGACCCGTTTTGAAATTGAGTTTAAACTCATAATTATCACATTGGAACGACCCGTTTAAAACTAGGATTTTGGGAACGGGACGTTCCGTTTTGGGAACAACCCATTCTGGGCTACTAAAACTAACTTGTTTGGGCTTTAGGCCTTCTGATGTCATGTCCTGTTGTTTATATACTTGGGAGCTCCTTTTCTTTGATAATGGACGTCCATTTCATTGCTTTTGTTTGTTCGGATGAAATTGAGTGTCTACAATCATTAATTATACTAAACTAAACTATGAGGGAAGGAAAACTTGATTGATTGTGAAAATAAATAAAGTGTTTGAACAAAGATAAATGTTATAAGAAATCTTTTAGTACTTTTATGAACACTTGAAATGCAAAAAATTGATTTTAACACTAACAAAATATGTTGGGATTTAACTTCACTAAACAATCTTCTCATGCTTACAAAAAAGCTATAATCCAATTATAATTCAAAAATTATTATTCAACTCATAAATATTATAATCAAACCTTAATTCCTTACAAGTTAGAGTTTAAGATTTTTGACTAAGTTTTCAATTCCTTGCACAACTTAACCAAGAACCCAACCATTTTAAGAACAAAGGTTTATCAATGGCCAATAGCAGTTACTCCGTATCTGAAGGTAAAATACCTTTAACGATTATACTCCGTATCTGAAGGTAAATACCTTTAACGATTACTCAAACATTTTAAAAACACTAAATCAAGTTAAGCAAGACCAAACAATAATAGCCATTAAGAAAATAAAAGAGAAACAATATTTGATAACAAATAGGATTAATAACTTAGAATGTGAACACAATTATAGGTATGTGGTAACATATCAAACCCAAAAAGGAAGAACTTAACTACATAAAGACATGGAGCACAAGAAAAATAAAAAAATGAAAAAACTTGATCTTAAAGCCATGAGAGCTCTTCTAGTTTCCACACATATTCTAAGAAATATTGCATGATAATGTATCTTTGAATATATCCTTTTTAGGTCATAAACCTCTTGGTTCTTCTCCTAGAAACTTGTTGTTAGCTTGGCAAGGGTACTAATTTGTATAAGTAATTTAATGATGAGTATGAATATCATCTCTCAATTAACTTAGGTAATACTTGACACAAATCACTAATTATACAAAACCAAAGTATTAAGAAAGTAAATTTTGATTGATTGCGGAAATAAATAAATTGCCTAAACAAAGATAAATGTTACAAGAAATCTTCTAGATTTTTTACAAACACTTGTAATGCAAAAACTGATTTTAATACAATAATGAAATATGTTGGGGTTTAACTTCAGAAAACCATCTTTTCATGTTCACAAACAAGCTTTAATCCAATTATGATCCAAGAATAATCATTCAACTTACAAATATACTATAACATTAATTTTTTACAAGTTGAAGTCTAAGCTTATTAACTAAGTTATCAATCCTTTGCATAACTTAACCAAGTACCCAATTTTAAGAACAAGAATTTATGAAAGGGTAATAACATTTACTCCATTCCTAGAGATAAATACCATTAATTACTCTACTTCAGTTTAATGGTTTACTAGTATTTTCCAATCACTTTAAACCCACAAAATCAAATTAAGGGAGATCAAACTATAACAAGCATTAAACAAAAATAGAGTAATAATAATGAATAGTAACTGAGATCAATAATTTAAAATGTGAACACGAGAATAGGTATGGCTACATCTAACCCCAGCAAAGGAGAACATAACCATATGCACACTCTAAGAGATGTTCCTTAATAATGTGTCTTCGAATCTTCCCTTTTTTAGGTTTTAAACCTTTTTGTCTGTTTTCCTAGAAACTCATCTCTTTAGAAAGTGTACGAATTCATATAAGTAGTTCAAAGACGAGTATGTGTATCTTCTCTTAATGGACTTACGTAATACTTGACACAAATCACTAATTATACTAAACTTACCTATAGTGAATGAAAATTTCGATTGATTGGGAAATTAAATAAAGTGCTTAAATAATAATAAATGTTATAAGAAATCTTTTGGATATTTTTATGAACACTTGAAATGCAAAAAATAATTTTAACACAATAATGAAATATGTTGGGTGTTTAACTTCACCAAAACCATCTACACATGGTTACAACCAAGCTTTATTCCACTTATAATAAAAAATTATCATTCAACTTACAAATATACTCAAACCTTAATTCTTTACAAGTTTGAGTTCAAGCTTCTTGAATAAGTTAACGATTCCTTGCATAACATAACTAAGAACTCAACTTTAAGAATGATAATTTATGAATGGATAATTACATTAAGTCCATTCCTGGAGGTAAACACCATTAACTGCTCTACTTCAATTCCATGGTTCACAAGTATTTTATAAACACTTTAAATCTTCAAAATCAAGTTAAGATAGATAAACCATAACAAACTTTAAGCAAATGAAGAGAGAAATAATACTAAATAATAACTATGATTGATAAAATTAGAGAGCATTAAAATATTAAAAATATTTACTCTGTTTCTCTTTTTTGTAAGGATATGTATCACTATAATTTGCTAGTTATTCAACATAAGGCTTCCCAATTGAGGTCAAGATCTAGGTCAAGCGTGAATCATAACTAAACTAGGATACATTTTGATGAACTTTTCTCTAGTTAGGGCCATTGCTTCATGTGAACTATGATAATATATTTTCTCTCATCATATATGTAATATGGGACAAAAAACATATAAAATATATTATTTCATGACTTATAAAATATGTAATATGCGACAACTTATACACTACTACTATTCTTATCTTATTCACTTTATTCTGTAAGTTGTATAAATAAAATTTCTCTTTTATTATTAATCCATGACTTAGACTTAGAAAAAAAAAAAACAATCAATCACTGCTTAGTGCAATCGGTGGGCTTAAAGGAGATTATTTTCTTTTGGAGGTCATAGCCAACTAAGAAGTTTTGTTGAGCCAAGTTCCCAAAAATAGCACCAGTTTGACTTGGCAAGAAAGCCAAACAAACTACTCCATCGCCTGCTACAATAAAGGTGTTGATAGCATTTAACTTGATGTCCGCACCATTAAAATGTGCCACAATCACTGGTATATCTAGTTTAACAAATGTACTTTTATAACAAAGTTTGAACTGTTTAAGTGGATCCACAACACGCTCTAACTTAACAACATCTACTACTGCTGATTCCAACTTTGAGTAGACATCATGTGGCAAAAGAGTGAATGTTGTAGCTGAGTCAATTATGATGTTTCCCTTTCCACTTGATCCAAATGAGGAGCTTCCAAACTCTATCCTTTTGTTTCCCACACTGAATGCTTCCAAAGTTAGGTAGTAAAATGTTTGTCCATGTCGAAGTACTATTGGGGTTGAGACAACTCCATCCCCAGAAACCACAGCAACATCTCCCAAATTGAGTTTGCTAGACATGATAGATGTTGGTGCCAAACAATATGAAAACTTTCCACCAATTGAAGAACTCAATTGGGATATGAGAGACATGGGTCCACTTCCCAGGCCAACTATGCCAGTGGTATCAAAGGACAAATTAGTGTTGCGTATGCATCCTATCACAGTTCTAGGAAATGTGACAAAAGAGCCATTGGTGGAACCCAAAGTAAGGGTCTCCACACTAAGATCTCCTTGTGAATGTGATCCATCCTTATAGTTTTGAGTATATTCACAATTTTTCCTTTTATCAGAGGAGCAGGTAGTACCTTTCACTAATTGACATGTGGTAGAAGAGCAAGGAAGGTTTTTGTATGTTTTAGAATATGAAGGATCAAACATTGGACCAGTGTCATTGTAACATGTTGCACAAAGTTGACATTGCAATGAAACCATGTCACTACCTGTATCAAGAATACCATAAACTGGGAATGGTGGGGTTCCAGCTAAATAGCTCAAGAGGTAGTCACCATCATATAGTAATGTTATAGGGGATTGAACTTTGTTTGGATTGACAAAATGTTGGTTGAAATGATTGGCACGGTCAATGGAACGACGCACAGCATTAGCAACTCGCTGAATTTGAGTTTCTGTGGGTTGATAGAATGGTGATTTTGACGAGTCACGATGGATCATCTCCGCACTAAAGCCATTGTTGAAAGCTTCTAAGAAAGAGAGGTTGTAAAGACACAACAAAACAAGAGCAAGACATGAAGAGCGTGACATTATTGTCATGACTAACATATATGAATAAAAGCAAATGTTAATTAATCTTACAAGATTTTCAAAATTTTAACTATACCTATATATAACATTAATGAATTGGATAGTCTAATTTGACCATATTTATATTTAATAAATACAATATTTAATGTTGTTTGGTAGTCAATTTTATTAATAATACATTGTTCATCGTATTTGTTAAATATAATATATAATTTGATTAAATAATATTATTAAATATTTATTGACAAGAGTTGCTAGCATAATTGGTATACATATGTTCTTTAACCAATGATTGAAATTTTTTTTCGTGTAAGTTGTAACTAGAAGTATTCTTTTACATCTAAATAAGTTGACTCAGTGAAAGAGATAACAACAGAATTGTATTTATTAAATTAAATATATGTTTATCAAAATATCATTTCTCAAATGAATCAACATATATTAAAAATATATTATTTAATAATTAATACTTAAATAAATATGAACACACATTAACAATTTTATTATTTTTCATTTTAAAATAATCAACCGGTAAAACATATTCAAAATTAAAAATAAAAATTTGTATCTTAATATAAGGTTAATAAATTGATAATAGTATTTTCTCTCTCTCTCTCTTAATTTCTACACTCACTAATTAGACTACGTATTATATTAAATAAATATAATATTTAATGTTACTAGTCATTCAATTTTACATATAATATATTAAATATAATATATATTTATAAATTTAATGAACTTAATATATGTTTAATACACTAGAAGAATTATTACTTTTATTATTGTTTGAAATAATATAGAAAATTAAAATGAAAAACGTAAATATATATTAATTTATACTATCTGCACCTTTGGTCAACAGTGTTTATCAACTTGGCCTTCAACCGATCAGGAATATCCACCAACTCAACCCCTTGTGTCATTGATAGAACAAGACTCGATCGATGGCCAACTACTCCCTAATAACATATGGGAGAAACTGTAGAGATTTATAAGATCATATCTGTTAGTAGTCATAATGATAAGTGTGAAATTAATAATAATAATAATAATAAGTAACATTTTGTAATTTATGTAGATCGAAAAAATATTAATTAATAAATTATTAAATAATAACTAATTAAATATCTTAATTTTCATATTTAGTAATTTGACTACATATTATCTTTAATGAGTATAATATTTAATTAATACTATTGGTCAATAAAATTTTGGATTATTTAATATATGGTATTTGAAATATAATAATGGTAATTGATATTTATTAGAATTGAAAAAAAAAAGGCAATTTATAGTTAGGGGTCACAGTAAGGTTTTCTTAGTGTGTAACATCCTATTTTTCGTAAATAAAATAAAATAATTTTTTAATAAAATAATTATATATTTTTTGGCTTAATTAATTTAATTAATTGGACTTCTTATATGATTAAAATCTTTTATCAAATAAAATAAAAATAAGACGACTATATATAGGTTGAGAGATGAGATTTGGGTTAGACTCTAGAGACCAATCTAAAGGCTTATTGAAAAGTAAAAGTAAAAGGGTAGGTCATTCTTACGCATTTATTTTGAACCCTAAGAATAATTGTAGAGGAAAACCTAGAAGAAGTCATCGGAGAAAGTATGAAGTAGCGACTATGGCAACGAATAAATGTGCTTATGCTACAAAGGTCATGACTCGAGGTAAGGGAGGGTGAGGATGTTGAATCCGTGGACCATATAATAGGTATGGGTAGTGAGGTAATCCTTAAGTCTCTTAGGTTTATGATTGATTTCTATGGATGTTTATGCATGATCTAATGTTGAGATGTTGCAATGTCTATGTAATTTTGTGCATGAATCCTAATTTGATTGGTATGATGATGAATTGCAATGTTTGAGGGTTAGGGTTATGAGATTTGGGGTTTTGACTTGAATGCATGAATTTGAATGATGTAATGATCTTGTATTGTTATATGAACAATATTTAGATGTTTCACATTAGGATTGGGAAAATGAGAACCTGTGATGGTTTAGATGGGTAAGGAGAACCTATATCCCAAAGCTCATGATTTTGTAAAGTAAAAAATCGGTGGTAGCTTTGAATGTGCCTTCATAGCCCCAAGTGCAATGAACACAACTTTCTATGTTGGGCATGAAGGGAATCACATCGGACATAGGGATGCTAGAGGGGTCTTTGAATTCTCTACATTAGGCGAGGAAGGTCTCATCTGGTGTCATTTTGATGACATTTTTGAGAAAGGATGACACTAGGTATGACATTGGATCACATTGAGTGTTATTATTGGAGAAAATATACATACGAGAAGGAAGATTGAATAGTGTATATCAAAAAGTTACTTTTGAAAATAATGAAGTAGTAGAAGCTTGACAAATGCAGTGGTAAAATGAAATAGATTAGAAGGAGCACAAGTCTTTTATACTAGTTCAACACAGAGACTATGTCCAGTTCTCAATCCAACCAGATTGAGTTCCACTATCTTTTATAAGATACAAGTATTCTTTTAACGAGCAACTTTTGGCTTAAACCCAAGTAGTCTTTTACTTGCCACTCTAAGCAAACAACTCCAAGTATTCTTTAACAACTAAACCTCTCCAGGCTTAATAATAAAGTATTTTTTTTGTTACAAGTCTCTCCAAGCTCAACAACTAAGTATTCTTTTAACTACAAGCCTCTTCAGGCTCAACCCTTATAATAGAAATTCAGAAAGAGTTACAAGGATAGTTTCATCCATTCTAAACATGATACTATGAAAATTAAGCACAAATAATCTGAGTAAGACAAAATTTATCTAAAAAGGGTATGCACTTCTAAAATTTTCACGATGTGATAACTTGTTTCTTGTCTTTCTTGTGTATTGGCTTCCATTTTTGTCTTAATTGAGAATCCCATATATAGTAACTTAGAAGAAAATGATCGTTGAGCAATCTTCTCAGGATGCTTCGTTTGTCTTCTCTTTGAGACTAGAGAGAGTCATTTAGTCGTTACTGCAAGCATTTAATGCTTTGTGTAAAAAATTTCATCTCTTATTTGATCTTGGCAACTACTTATCATCATTTCGTATGGTAAGGTGAAAATTAGTGGTTAAATCAGAATAGTGCAACACGTTCAAAGTCCCTGTCTACTTTTTTGTGATTTTTGGGATTTTTCTCTTTCTACTTTTGACAAATATATTTTTTTTTTACCTCTTTTATAAATTTTGAGAATTTTGAGACTTCTTTTTTGTTCGATCTACTAAGGAATAACATATTTAATGATATTTAATGTTAGTTTCATTTGCAAGTATTCAATTAATGTAATAAGACAAACTGTATGCTTTGTTTGATTTCTTTCATCTTATAGAGGATATATATTTTCCACATTATATCTAATATAGTAAATCTTTGTAGATTTTTAACTTTGCTTAACAAAAATCTTTTGTTTGTTATCATTAAAACTTGAGGGATCTAAGATTACCTTTTGTCTTAATACAAGATCTTCTTTTGATTTAACAATTTCCCTTTTTTATGGTGAACAAACATTCTCTTAAAAATTTATTCTTGTTTAATTTTTTGAAAGAGATTTTCTTTTTGATAAGACAAAATGAATTTTCATTTTACGAAAAAGGTTTAGATTTATAAGATATACCTAGTTAAAAGATTATCATACTAATGTGAATTATATATAACTAAGATAAAAGAAGTGATATGAGAAAATTTTATTAAGACCTGATATTTTTCTTATGGCATATGATTCGTAATATTTTCTTAGTCTTGTCAGTCAGACGATATGGTTTTTGACAGACTAAGATATCAAAGCATTTATCCTAACTATATAGTAGAGCATTTATAACATAAAATTTATGAACATATTTAAGCATATATGTATATAAGAGTATATTTGTTTATGTCCAAGCATTTTCTTAAGAAAAAATAAAATTTTCAAAATTTATCAAAGCTTAAACATATTTATTCTAGCTTGTTTGGTCTTTTCAATAGAACTTGGTTCTATTTGATTCTTAATCAAGGTATTCAGACGATCAGAACAATTATAAGACATTTTCAGACTAAATGCAATGCATAGGGGACTTCCCCTAAAAACATCAATGATGAAAAATCATATCATTCATAAAACACATAACAAAGCAGACAAGTATCAAACATAGAAATATATTTCATTTAAATAGAATATCAAACATAGTTGTGAAATAGAAGGAGAAAATAAAACAAAGAAAATAAAAAATGTCGCTTATTCTTCCCCCCTTCTGTCACCAACAAAAGCTAGACTAGGCCAGCTACCTCGACTTTCATCTTCATCTTCCTCTTTTGACAGGATAAGGTGAAGTGAAGGGTGTGGTGGAAAAAGATGGGGCAGAGAGGTTAGAAAAATAATGTCTTAGCAATAGACTCATTAGATTAGGTTTCCCAAAAACGAAAGTTGTCATCATAGCAATGACTATAAAAGGGATACAAATGAAGGCTAGAATGCCCAATCAACCTAGCCAAATAGAGCGGTTGGAAAGACATGAAGAGATTAGATGTTTAAAGAATATGATCACTTTGGAAGAGATTTAGAGAATTTGTGAAGAAGATTTGGTAAGTAGAGGAAATAAGATGAGTTAGTCTTATAAGCATGAGAAAATAATTTAAAAAAATGGTACAATAGGTCATGATGAGTCACAGATTGGTGTTATGATATGATGTATGAGGGAAGAGTTGATGTTGAGATTACACGTCTATGAAATTTTGAGAGTTGCATGCAATATGTTTTCAATTATCATCTATAATGACAAAACCCTTTTTGCCCCCTAGACTAAGTTTTCTAGCTAGTTGGACCAAAAATCCATATGTAATAATTCTAGTGGTCCAGAGGTGGAAACTCCCTTTTTTCTTTAAAAGATGACTTCATTTGTTTCCCTCTCTGATAGGCTTCACAAAGAAGATGAGTTTGCCAAGAAATTTTAGGTAGTCCTCTTACCAAACCTCTTTTGGATAATTTTGAAATATGTTTTATGTTGACATGCCTAAGATTTTTGTGCCAA